GCGCAGGGGAAGCCCCCTCAGCGGGTCTCTTCTCACTTACGGGCGACTCCTCCGGGCAGAGCAGGGCAGGGCCGCGCAAGGCTTGCGGGCCGCGGAGTTTGCTGACTCAAAGGCGCGCGGCGGTGGCGGCGGCGGCGGCGGGAGCGCACACGAGCACACGAGCGCACGAGCGCACGAGCGCAGCCCCGCGCACCCCGCGCACGTAGCGGCCCCGCGCCCGCGCTCAGCGCCAGCTGTCCGCCTGTGGCCGCCGCTCCTCGTGCTTCCTCTCGCTCGCGCAGCCCAGCCCAGGTGCCCCCCCGCCCTGCCGAGCAGGCCTCCTGCCTCCTGGAATTCGGTTAGGGAGGAAATGCCCCGGTGAGCCCGGACGCTGAAGCTGGAGGTGATCCAGCAGCACCCTTCGGAATCTCCACCTGAGTCACCTTAAGCTTCCTAACCCCGACCCCACAGTTATGGGGAGGATTGCCGATGGGGAGAGGGACGGACAAATAACGTGATAGAAGAATGGCAGAATGTTCATAGCATCTAGGTTGTGGGCTTATGGGTGTTTGTATAAAATTATTTCAACTTCTGTATATGTTTGAAATGTCTCTTAATAAAACATTTGGGAGGAAAGCTATGAAATCTGCCAAGGGACCTGACTCAGGAAGGCATTTCCCAAATGGCACCTGAGGTTGGGTCCCCACGCCTGTTTGCATAGAAAACCGCAATCATCACTTGAACTGCTAATGAGTGACTGAACGACACAGAATAATAAACATAGCCTAATATTTCATTTTTCAAGCATGAATTTTCTCATTAGACACAGCTTGTTGCTGTTCATCCTCCGGGTACCATTCCAGTCCCACCTGAAAATGCATCTGTTCCCGCCACACCTACGTTAACTCCCTAACAAAACTTATAAATATACAATGTTGTGTCTTAACATCTTGGATCTTGAAGTTGTATTGCTGAACCTTTAATCTCTGGTATTTAATTTCCTAAATTGCACGTCATAACACACAAGTGTTATGACTTTTTGTTTTCACTTTTGAAAATCAAATTAAAGTGTAGTTTTTAAATTTTTGTCCCTATGCTCCACAAAGAAAAGCATTGAGTAGAAAACAAAATGCAGCATATACCTAAGGTCCTAAGAGATTCTGTAAAATTAAAATCTTTCTGAACTTATTGTCAAGAGCATAACTTTACAGCTGTAGACAGAGCAGCAGCAAACCCTCAGAGAGTCTACTGAAAGTCATTTAAATATCTGTTAGAATTATGACCCTATTAAGAATGGTAACTTGCAATCTGAATCCAGGAAACTGACTTAAGTGACGGTCACCTTTTTAGATTGTGGCATTTTTGTTATACCATCGGTAGGGTGGGGTAAAAACTGGGACTCTACAGTGGTTAAGAAACCCCGCCTAGTGGCCGGGCTGGTGGCTCATGCCTGTAATCCCAGCACTTTGGGAGGCTAAGTGAGGTGAATCAGCAGGTGTCCGAGACCAGCCTGGCCAACATGGAGAAGCCCCATATCTACTAAAATACAAAAATTAGCTGGGTGTGGTGGCACATATCTGTAATCCCAGCTACTTGGGGAGCTGAGACATGACAATTGCTTGTACCAGGAGGTGGAGGTTGCATGAGCCAGGATCTCACAACTGCACTCCACCCTGGGTGGCAGAGTGAGACCTCTGTCTCTCAAAAAAAAAACAAAACAAAACAAAACAAAAAACCCTGCCCTACTGAGAAGACCATAAACATTGCTTTTTTTTTTTTTTTTTTTTTGAGACAGAGTCAGGCTGGAATGCAATGGCGAGACCTCAGCTCACTGCAACCTCCACCTACTGGGTTCAAGCAATTCTCCTGCCGCAGCCTCCTGAGTAGCTGGGACTACAGGCGCGTGCCACCATGTCCAGCTAATTTTTGTATTTTTAGTAGAGACGGCGTTTCACCACGTTGGCCAGGATGGTCTCGATCTCTTGACCTCGTGATCCGCCCGCCTCGGCCTCCCAAAGTGCTGGGATTACAGGCGTGAGCCACCGCACCCAGCCAACATTGCTTTTAAAAAGAAATATCAAGCCAGGTGAGGTGGCTCACACCTGTAATCCCAGCACTTTGGGAGGCCAAGGCGTATGGATCACTTTAGGCAAGGAGTTCAAGACTAGTCTGGCCAAGATGGTGAAACCCCATATCTACTAAAAATACAAAAATTAGCCGAGCATGGTGGCATGTGCCTGTAGTCTCAGCCACTAGGGAGGCTGAGGCAGAGAATTACCCAAGCCCGGGAGGCAGAGGTTGCAGTGAGCCGAGATAGTGCGACTTCACTCCAACCTGAGTGACAGAGCAAGACTCCGTCTCAAAAAAATAAATACATACATAAAAATAAATATCAAAATTATTAATAGATGAGCATTTTAACCCTGGGGAGACTGAAAATTGAGTATGAAATGTTTAAAAGATTCAAGCCTGTAATATTAATATTTTGTTTTAAGGAATTTGGGCACATTTGGAATTCTATGTAATGTTAACATGTAAGAGAACTTGGCCTGCTGAAGTAATCATTTGCCTTGTACTTCAAGTTTTAAAATGTGTAATTTAATACCTGGATATTAATGAGCTGAAAATAGTCTTATTAAGTTAATAAACAGTATTGGAACACTCACTAGCACTTAAGATTTACCATATTTATAAATTTATTAGATGTTGTTACTTGCTAATCAGACAATTAAAGATCTTTACAAATGAAACAAATATATTAAATTCATGAATGAAGTTAAAAATGTTTAGAGGTGATTAAGTTAATGGGATCGAACATTAATCGAATGCCTTTGGGTTGTTAAAGTTTGCTAGAGTTATAAATGGAATAAGATAGCTTTGCCCAGTGGCAGTATCATAGCCAATGAGGTTTATCCGAGGCGCGATTATTGCTAATTGAAAACTTTTCCCAATGCCCCATTGTGATGACTTGCAACATAGTTGGCATCGGCAATTTCTGACAGTCTCTACGGAGACTGAATAATAAATAAATAAATAAATAAATAAATAAATAAATGGAATAAATTTAAGTGTGATATTGTAAAATATATATTTAGTCATCATCCCCATTTCCTGGTAATAAAACTCCTAAAATCCTTGGAATCCTCAAAGTGATGTCTTTCTGTATGCTAATGAGTTGACTGGTGGTGGCTGGCAGCTCCTAGTAGCTTCAGGAAGAGGCTCATCACTGGAAAGGCCACACCCTGAGTAGAGGGTTGGAACTTCCAGCCCTATTCTCCAACCTCTCTGGGGTGGGGAAGGGCTGAAGGTTGAGTTGATCACCAATGAACAAAGGTTTAATCAATCATGCCTACATAATGAAGCCTCCATAAACGCACAAGAGGACAGGGTTCAGAGAGCTTCAGGGTGCTGAACACGTCCAGGTGCCTGGAGGGTAGTCCACCTAAGAAAGGCATGGAAGTTCTATGCCCCTCCCCCATGCCTTGCTCTATGCATCACTTCATCTGTATTCTTTGTACCATCTTTCTAGTAAATTTATGTGTTTCCCACAGTTCTGTGAGCCATTCTAGCAAATTATTTGAACCTAAGGATGGGGTTATGGGATCCCCGATTTAGAGCTGATGGCTCAGAAGCACAGGTAAACAGCCTGGGCAGAGCTTACAATTGTCATCAGAAGTGTGGGGAGGCAATCTTGTGAAATTGAGCCTTCAACCTGTTGGATGTCTCCAGGTAGCTGGTTTCAGAATTGAATGGGGCCGGGCGCAGTGATTTAGGCCTGTAATCCCAGCATTTTGGGAGGCCAAGGCGGTTGGATCACTTGAGGGCAGGAGTTCGGTACCAGTCTGGCCAACAAGGTGAAACCCCATCTCTACTAAAAATACAAAAAATTAGCTGGGCATGGTGGTGTATGCCTGTAATGCCAGCTACTCAGGAGGCTCAGGCAGGAGAATTGCCTGAACCCAGGAGGCAGAGGTTGTGGTGAGCCAAGATCGCGCCTTTGCACTCCAGCCTGGGTAAAAAGAGCGAAACTCCGTCTCAAAAAAAAAAAAACAAAAAACAAACAAACAAAAAAAAAAACTAAGGAATAATTATACTCTTGTAATTTTAACAAATCACATATTCTAAAAATAGCATCAAAATTATATTTTCTGTGCACAAGAACTACTCTTGGAAGCGTGCACGCTCACGCACACACACACACACACACACACACACACACAAACATTTATGACCAGGCTAGGAATGGTGGCTCAAGCCTGTAATCCTGGCACTTTGGGAGGAGGCTAAGGCGGGCAGATCACCTGAGGTCAGGAGTTCAAGACCAGCCTGGCCAACATGGTGAAACCCTGTCTCTACTAAAAATACAAAAAATTAGCCAGGTGCGGTGGTGCATACTTGTAGTCCCAGCTGCTCCAAGGCTGAGGCAGGAGAATCACTTGAACCTGGAGGGGGAGGTTGCAGTGAGCCAAGATCATGCCCCTCCACTCCCACCTGGGTAACAGAGCAAGACTCTGTCTCAAAAAAAAAAAAAAAAGAAACAATTATGGCCATTTCTGCCTCTCTTGGTGTAATGTCCTTACGGTGGGGAAAGGTATTTTATTCTGTGTCTCATGAAATATTTTCTCAGTTCTTTGTAATTAGGGCTGTAATGGGAGCATTTGAGAAAATCCTCACTTTCCTGTTATATTTGTGGTAGATGTACCACGGCACCACCTTCACAGGGTTGTTGTGGAGTTTAAATGAAATAACCCAGGTAAAGCTTTTGTATTGGGTAAACAGCAAGTTTTCAGTAAATTTTAGCTATTATTATAACTTGACCCTCTTCTCCAATCTCTCCTGTCTCCAAGCTAAGTACACTTAGTTACATACACATTAAAGAAAGCCATCTCCACCCCCTGTCCTTCCTCCATCTCTTGGAAAAATTGCAAAATCCACAGATAGTAAAAATGGAAGTTGCCTGGACTTGGTGTTCAGAAATTATAATTAACTGATAATATACATAATATTGTATTAAGAAATACTTTACCTTTAAGTGTTCGTGAATGCTCCTGCCTTCTTGGGAAACACTGTCACAGGAAATATTTGCAATGAAGGGAAGATAGTTTTTACCTTTCATGAACAACTAATAACTGGATTTAAGAAAAAATTTAAACGAATGACAAATAATTTAGATTTTGATTTGTGATCTTGTGATCATAATTACTATTTTTTTCAAAAAGATGAAATATAGATTAATGGTGAATAAAATAACCACTCTCAATTATCAATCTAATATAGTTTTTCAAAATATGCGACGTAAGCCTGCCTCCCAGATGAAGGGATTTAACTTCTCATCCATCCACCCACCTCCTTATTCTTATTAGTGAATTAATGTGCTCCCAGTTAACAGTCCAAACCTGCTAACCTTGGCACTTCCTTTGACCCAATTCCTTCCCTTAATCTACTCAGGTCCAAGATCCATACATTTCATCTTAGCCAGATCATGGTGGAACTCACGTTCTGTGTTCCATTCTCCTGCAGACACTCTGAACTCTCAGCATCCTACAGTAACCTCTCTACAGTGATCCAATTCACTGGTTTTTCAAATGCCTTTAGCAAATGAACTCTTTCTTCAACTAAACCTCATTTATAAAATGAAGTAAAACACAATTCCATTACTATACATTTATTTGATGAATTCAATTTTGTAGCTTTTGCTAATTATAAAGAAATCAATGACCTTTGGAAGCTGTTTTGCTGAACACCAAGATTTGAAATCAGGGATTTGTGAAAGATCACTGGAATCTCCTATCAGGGTCAACATCCCATTTACCCCTTCTATTTGATTGCTTAATATTAACAAAACTCCAATCTACTCAGAGAAGTATTTGCAAATGGTAACAATTCAGAAGTTTGAAAAAGGAATAGTTTAAATTTTTGTTTCAAAGTTGAAGCACTAAGGGTATCTCACATCCTCACATTGTATCACTAGCAGAAGTTGCAAGTAAGAAGACCAATCCTTACTGTAAATGCTAAAGTGTCTATAATATGAATTATCACCACACAATCTGCTTCAAGTTCATTTGGCTTTACACAACTGACAGGAGCACACACCCAAGCAAAGGTAGGCACCTTGTGCAATATTCCCCAGGACCACCAAGGGATGCTCTGTAGTGATGTCCTGCTCATTCTGCTCTACCAAAATAATTTCATTCCTGGGAAAGAGAAAATGAAAACAAAAAAGAGGACTTGCATTATCAAAAGCTATATTTTAAGGCCAGGTACAGCGGCTCACACCTGTAATCCCAGCATTTTGGGAGGCCGAGTTGGGCAGATTACTTAGGGTAAGGAGTTCAAGACCAGGTTGGCCAACATGTCAAAACCCTATCTCTACTAAAAATATAAAAATTAGCCAGGCATGGTGGCACACAGCTGTAGTCCCAGCTACTCTGGCAGCTGAGGCAAGAGACTCACTTGAACCCAAGAGGCAAAGGTCGCCGTAAGCTGAGATCATGCCACTGCACTCCAGCCTGGATGACGGGGAGAGACTCTGACTCAAAAAAAAAAAAAGCTGCATTTTAAAAGCATTGGTTTCAATGGTGAATTTTATTTTATTATTATAAACTAAAATTATTGGTTGATTAAAACTGACAAAAACAAAACAAAGCTTAGCATTACTGAGCATATCAAACATAAACCCAGTCTCAATCATCTAATTTCTAAGCCTTTGATATAAATTGCAGTATGGTATAATTGGCACCAACACTCAACCAGAGAGACCAGGAGAGAAGCCATTTCTTGCCTGAAGGAGCTAGGTTTTTTGTTTTGTTTTGGTTGGGTTTGGTTTTCTCAGTGCTCTGCTTGAGTACCTATACATGTGGCACTAATTCTGAATATTGGATGCATTATAGTCTATAACCATGTGGAGATAGTAGAGTACAGTGATTAAGGCTCAGAGTCCAGCGCCAAAAATCTTGTTCTAATCCCCAAATTCTTTGGGCAAGTCACTTCACATCTCTAAGCCCTCAGTTTTCTTATCTGTGAAGTAGTACCTACCCAACAGGGTTGTCATTAGGAAGTAATAGATATAAATTACTGGCTGGGTGTGATGGCTCACACCTGTAATCCCAGCACTTTGGGAGGCTGAGGAAGGTGGATCACCTGAGACCCAGAGTTGGAGACCAGTCTGGCCAACATGGCGAAACCCCGTCTCTACTAAAAGTACAAAAATTAGCCGGATGTGGTGGAGGAGGGCACCTGTAATCCCAGGTACTCAGGAGGTTGAGGCAGGAGAATCACTTGAACCTGGGAGGCATAGGTTGCAGCAAGCTGAGATCGTGTCACAGCACTTCAGCTTGGGTGACAGAGTGAGACTCCGGCTCAATAAATAAATAAATAAGTAACTAAGTCCAGGACTGCAACAGAGTAGGAAAGAGCTTCATAAACATGATTTTGATGCTGTTGTCTTTAGTGCACATCTCATCTTTCCAAAATAAATGGTCGCATAATATCCAAATCTCATTATGACACCTTTTGCAGAAGAAAGTGTACTTGTACTCATTTTTACAATTTTCTGTGAATGGACATACATAGGACTAAATTTTTTTAAACAACCAACCTATATATGTGTATGAAATTCCTCTGAAAGGATAAACTTTGGTTAGGAGAAATAAGGAGGTGGGGGCAAACATGGGAGGAAGTTTGCTTTTTGATCTACATCCTTTTGAACAATTCAAATGTTATGTAGAGTACATTCAACAATATATAAACAGGCCAGGCTTGGTGGCTCATTCCTGTAATCCCAGCACTTTGGGAGGCCAAGGCCAGAGGATCGCCTGAACCCAGGAATTCAAGACTAGCTTGAGCAACATAGTGAGACCTTAACTCTGCAAAAAATAAATTAAAAAAAAATAGCCAAGCACAGTGGTGCACACCTGTGATCCTAGCTTCTCAGGAGGCTGAATTGGGAGGATTGCTTGAACCCAGGAGGTGGAGGCTGCAGTGAGCTGTGATCGTGCCACTGCACTCCAGCCTGGGTGACAGAGTAAGACCCTGTCAAGAAAAAAAAAAAAAAAAAAAAAAAAAAAAATATATATATATATATATATATATATACACACACACACACACAATATATATATATTTATATATATACTATATATAAATATATTTTTATATATTTATAAGATATTTATTTATATATTTTCTATGTATTTATATAGAAAATAGAGTATAGTATATAAATATTTATAAATATTTTATATATATAAATAAATATATATATATATACACACACACACATACACAAAGAGATAAGCACTGAAGGTATTGTAGAGGCAGCAAAACTCCACCTCTGTCCTCTTTTAGGCTGGGCTGGAGAATTAAATTGACATAAGACAGATTAACAGGAGAAAATCATGCAAGTTTATTTAATACAAATTTTTCATGGCATGGGACCCCCCATAAGAATATGAAGACCCAGAAGCATTTAGAGTTATTTTAACAAGGTCTGTACAGAAGTTTCTCAGTCTCATCTTTATAGCCTTGTTAAGAATGGTTGGAGTTTTGACAGGGGAGGTTTGTTTGCTTGTTTGGAGACAAGATCTTGCTATGTTCCCCAGGCTGTACTCAAACAATCCTCCCACCTCAGCCTCAGCCTCCCAAAAATTGCTGCATCTTTCACATGGGAATTTCATGTCCTGCTTTTAAGAAACAGAATGAAGGTCATATTCTCTCCCTTTCTTTTTTTTTTTTCTTTGAGACAGGGTCTTTGTTGCTCAGACTGGAGTGCAGTGGCACAATTATGGCTCACTGAAACCTTGACCTCCCAGGCCCAAGTGATCCTCCTACCTTAGCCTCCCAAGTTACTGGGACTCCAGGCACAAATCACCATGCCCAGATAATTTTTTTTTTCGTAAAGATGGGGTCTTGCCAGGTAGCCGAGGCTGGTCTTGAACTCCTGGGCTCAAGTGATCCTCCAGCCTTGGCCTCCCAAAGTGTTTGGCTTACAGGCATGAGCCTCTACGCCCAGCCAGGGGTGTTATATTCTTAATTCCTCCAATATAAACAGACAACTCACAGAAGAGGAAGTACCAATAACTAATAAACATAAAGGAGAATCCATTTCTCAACAGTTTAGTGAAAAAAAAAAAAAACTTCTTTCTTTTTGAGACAGGGTCTCACTCTGTCTCTGTTGCCCAGGCTGCAGTGCAGTGGTATAATCATGGCTCACTGCAGCCTCAGCCTCCCAGGTTCAGGTGACTCTCCCATCTGTCTCTTGGGTAGCTGGAACTACAGGTGCACACCACCACATTTGGCTAATTTTTTGTATTTTTAATAGAGATGGGTTTTACCATGTTGCCCAGGCTGATCTCAAACTCCTGGGCTCAAGCAATCTGCTCACTTCACCCTCCCAAAATGCCAAGATTACAATGTGAGCGACTCACCCCAGCCCCAACTTTTATTTTTTAATTTTCTTTTACAGAGATAAGGTCTCACTATGTTGCCCAGGCTAGTGTTCAACACCTCAGCCTCCCAAAGGACTGGCATTATAGGAATAAGCCACCATACCCAGTCAAGTCAAAAAATTTTTGCATTAAGAACATCACATATTGGCAACAGATAGTTTCATGCTTTGCTCATTAGTGTAAATTGGAAAATCAATTTTATGTATTTATTATTTATTTATTTATTTTGAGACAGAGTCTCGTTTTGTTACCCAGGCTGGAGTGCAATGGCACCATTTCAGCTCACTGCAACCTCCGCCTCCCGAGTTCAAACAATTCTTCTGTCTCAGCCTCCTGAGTAACTGGGACTACAGGCACATGCCACCATGCCCAGCTAATTTTTTTGTATTTTTAGTAGAGTCAGGGTTTCATCATATTGGCCTGGCTGGTCTTGAACTCCTGAACTTGTGATCTGCCTGCCTCAGCCTCCCAAGTGCTGGGATTACAGGCGTGGGCCACCAGGCCTGGCCTATTATTTTATTTTTGAGATAGTCTCACTCTGTCACCTTGGCTGGAATGCAGTGGCACAATCTTGGCTCAATGTAACCTCTACCTTCCAGGTTCAAATGATTGTCCTGTCTCAGCCTCCCGAGTAGCTGGGGATAATTTTTATATTTTTATAAAAATATAAAAGGCACACACCACCATGCCCGGCTAATTTTTATATTTTTATTAGATACAGGGATTCACCATGTAGGCCAGGCTGGTCTTGAACACCTGACCTCAGGTCATCTGCCTGCCTCAGCCTCCCAATGTGCTGGGATTACAGGTGTGAGCCACTGCACCCAGCCTGGAAAAGCTGTTTTAGAGAGCAATTAAGCAATGTTGTACTGAAAGGACAGGCAAGCCCCCCAAATTGGGGCTTAGCCTGGGAGGGTTTTGGCTTCACCCAGGAAAGAATTCAAGAGTGAGCTGGTGGTGTTAAATGACAACTTTTATTGAAGCAGCAGTGTACAGCAACAGCAGAGGTACTACAACTGTGGAGCAGGGCTACCCTGTAGGCAGTGTGCCCAGAATGGCAGCTCAGAGGTAGTTCAGCAGTCATAGTTATACCCACTTTTAATTACATGCAAATTAAGGGGTAGTTTATGCAGAAATTTCTAGGAAAAGCATGGCAACTTCCAGGTCATTGGGTCGTTGCCATGGAAAGGAATGGCAATTTCTGAGTGTTGCCATGGCAATGGCAAACTGACATGGCACACTGGTGGGCATGTCTTATGGAAAGTTGCTTCCACCCTAGCCCTGTTTAAGCTAGTCCTCAATTTGGTCTAGTGTCCAAGCCTTTCCTCCAGAGTTGAGTCCTACCTCCTCCTTCACTATCAAAACTAAACTCATATGTGCCTATGGCCCAGCAATACTACCTCTCAGTATCTCTCCCACAGAAACCCTCACACGTGTGCCCAAGAAGATATGCACAAGGGTGGACACTGCAGCATGGCTGGTAACAGCAAAAAACTGGAAGCAAGTTAAATGTTCACCAATACAGAAATGTTTTAATAATCCATATATATTCATAGTGTGGAATATTATACATCAGATTTTAAAATGACCAAACTCTATATGTTACTGAGCAAGGGCTAGCTGCTCGACACACATAGAAGCTGATATGTGGCCAGGTGCGGTGGCTCATGCCTGTAATCCCAGCACTCTGGGAGGTCGAGGCATGTGGATCACGAGGTCAGGAGTTCAAGACCAGCCTGACTAACATGGTGAAACCTATCTCTATAAAAATTAACTGGGCGTGGTGGCAGGCACCTGTAATCCCAGCTACTAGGGAGGCTGAGAAAGGAGAACTGCTTGAACCTGGGAGGTGGAGGTTGCAGTAAGCCAAGACGACGCTATTGCATCCCAGCCTGGGCGACAGAGAGAGACTCCAAAAAAAAAAAAAAAAAAAAAAAACCAAGAAGCCGATATAGGATTGACTTTTGAGAAAAGAAAAAGCTTCACTGTAACTTCACTGGCAAGGAGACACGAGGCAATTCTCAAATCTGTCTCTCAAGCTGGGGTCTGGGGCAGGTTTTATGGTCAAAGAGGAACTGAGATAAGGTGTGATCTGATTGGGTTCATGGAAAGAAGCTGCAAACTGATGAGATCATGCAATGAGGTGATATTGGGTCCTTGGCTTTTAGAAAAGTTCATACTCCAACAAAACAGGGGGTACCTTGCTTTTTAACTTGGTCCCTGTTGCTTGGTCCAAGCACTTAGATTCTGCCTGTGGTTGGCTTTTTCATTCCAGCTGGCTCTGAGGTCAGGACCTGGGCCTGCTTGATTCTTCTGGCCATACTCAGGTTAGGTGACTTGCAACCTGGGGGTCCTTGGGAGCAGAAAAAAAACTCATCATTTTGTCACATTTTGTTGTTGACAAAGTTGAACCAGATTGGACTAGTTCCAGGGTTACTTATGGTTACATTGAAAGATCTTTAAAACATACTGAGAAAGGCAAGATAGAGAATATAGTGCCCTGCTACTTGTTAATGGTGGAGGGTCTTCACTGTAAGTTGTCAGGTTCTTGGCGTTTTGAAGAGAGAATCAAACAAAATGCACAGCAAAGCAAGGAAAGAATGAAGTGAGGAAAGCAGAGATTTATTGAAAACGAAAGTACACTCCACAGGGTAGGAGTAGTTCAAGCAGTGGCTCAAGGGCTCTGGTTGCGGGATCTTCTGGGGTCTGAATACTCTCTACAGTTTTTTTATTGGTCATTTGGTATATACCCCATGCAAATGAAGTAGTGGCCCACGATCAGTCTGACTGGTTGCACAAAGCAACCAATCAAAGGCTAAAGTGAAATCACAAAGTTGAACTCCTATGCAAACATCTGATTGGTTGTGCAAAGCAAACAATCAGAGGTACTCTCAGTTTTCCGTCTGCCAGGGAGAAAGTGGAGAGCAGGGGCGTTTGCAAAGGGAGTAGCCTTTGGTCCTTTTGTTACTTAGATTTTGAAATTTGGGGTTTTCCTTTTGATTTAGTTCTAGGAAGTCAGCATGAATGCGGCTTTAGGTTTCCTGCCTCCAGACTCTATTCTCCTGCTTCACTACTGTTAATATGTTAAAAAAAATTTTTTCATTTATTTATTATTTTATTTTGTTTTATTTATTTATTTATTTATTTATTTATTTATTTATTTATTTATTGGTAGAGATGTTGGCATCTCACTACATTGTCCAGGCTGGTCTCAAACTCCTGGCCCCATGATCTTCCCACCTCAGCCTCTCAAAAAAGTTTTAAAATAATAAAACCTCTGTTTTTCTACGTAGATATATGTATGTATGTGAATATATGGTCTAGAAGGACAACTTCAAACTTATAAGAGATTACCTCTGGGGAGAGAAATGATCCAATATAGCTCCTAGCCTATATAAGGTCTTTGTGAGGATGTTTATAAGTTACCTTTCTTCCACACAATTTACTGCCATCTGCTGGAAAATTATCATTTAAAAATGTCAAATGTACTACCCTGTGAATAGTGACCCCTAGGGTTGTTCATGGCACAACTTGCACAGTCATAGTCTATAGCCTTAGAGGACATTCCTTGAGACTGAGATCAAGTTTTATTCTGAGGTCTATACAAAATAAGTTAATATGACCACATGGGTAAACATTAGTTTTCAATGTGTTAAAATTTATTTTGTAACATTTCTATGTACAAAAGCGTTAGGTTTTGGAGAGGTGAGGTTTGTGGGTTAAATGGTGGGTTATGTCACTGACAAAATCAGAGACTCACTGCTTCTAAGTACAGAAAAGATTTGAGCATAAGCAACTGGGTACTAAATAAGACAAATTAATCACCTCTCAGGTCCTTCCTTTCCAATAGCAGGAATGCAGTATATTATTACATAACAAAGTATTTCTCAATACCAGGCGTCCATTTTCTTTATGTTTCAAATCATGCTTTGAAGGCAGGAAGAATTGGTAAAGTAGTTACAACAATTGCTCCCGGCAGTTTACAATTTTTCTGCAATATTAAGCAATTTAAATTACCATTAAATTTCTATACATGTGAGTTTGGACATAACACCAGTGAAACATGATACTGATTTTTTTCTTTTTTTCTTTTTACTTTTTTAAATACTTTTTTTATGTTTCATGCATCTCCAATCATCATGTTTTATCTCCCCTCCAAAGGAGGAACGGGTAAGGATTATCCCACCTGACGATGATACTGATTTTTATAATGTTAAAGCAAACTAAATATGGCCTGAGAAGGACTCTGTACTTTTTTTTTCAGAGACAGAGTTTTGTGCTTCTTACCCAGTCTGGAGTACAGTCATGAGATCTCAGCTCACTGCAACCTCCACCTCCTGGGTTCAAGCAATTCTCCTGCCTCAGCCTCCCGAGCAGCGGGGATTACACGTGCCCGCCACCACGGCTGGCTAATTTTTGTTTTAGTGGAGACAGTTTTCACCATGTTGATGAGGCTGGTCTCAAACTCCTGACCTGTGGTGATCCACCCACCTCAGCTTCCCAAAGTGCTGGGATTACAGGCATGAGCCACTGCACCCCACCAGGACTCTGTACTTTTATATTTGTGTCTTTACGTACAAACCATAATCTACCTTAATAGGTAGACAAAACTGAAAACCTAACTTAGCAGTATGTGCCTGTAACAATAGTTGAGTCTTGGCCAATCTCAGCAGCCATACTTTTAACTACTCATACACTGCTGAGTGTTCAAACTGTATTCAAATAAAGCAAATGCCAAGCTGTAACCAATCCTGCTCTTTCTGTACCTCACTTGCAATTTGTGTACATCACTTCCCTTTTTTGTCTATAAATTTGTTCTGACCAGAAGGCATCCCTGGAGTCCTGAACCTGCTGTGATTCTGGGGGCTGACCAATTTGCAAATTGTTCATTGCTCAATTAAATTCCTTTAAATTTAATTCAGCTGAAGTTTTTCTTTTAACAATATTTGAATTGTGAAGAATTTTATTTGTATGAAAATATAAGGGCAAAGGGAAAAGTTCTTCTTCATCCTCAGAAGTTTCACTGAAAAATCAACTCACAAAAGGCAGATTAGGCCAGGTGTGGTGGCTCACGCCTATAATCCCAATACTTTAGGAGGGTGAGGTGGGAGGATCCCTTGAGGCCAGGAGTTCAAGTCTAGCTTGGGCAACATAGCGAGACTTCATCTCTACAAGAAATTTTTTTAAATTCTCAGGCTTGGTGGGCACATGCCTGTGGTCCCAGCTACTCAGGAGGCTGAAGCAGAAGGATTGCTTGGGCCCAGGAATTTGAGGTTACAGTGAGCTATGACTACCACTGCAC